CCACCATGGACCACGTGCCGTCCGGGTTGAAGGTCTTCCCCACGAGCTTCACCTGCTTGAGGATACGTTTGCCTTGTGGCCCCCACACAGCGAAATCTGCATAGGGGACCCGCCCGCTCCGCAGGACAGAATCCAAGGCAGCCAACTGTTCCTGAGTGAGTTCCTCCAGCGGCGGGGGCTTGACCTTGTAGACGATCTTGTAGTTCGCGGTGCACGCCAAGACCCGGGCGCTGTCCAAAAGGGGCTTCGTGCCCTCCAGCCGGGGGTCGATGACCTCTTTGAGGACTGCTTTTGTCGAGCCAGCCTCCCGTTCCTCTGTGATGTTCTTGGCGTGCGCCTCCAGTGTTGGGAGAAGCGCCGCAATGCTGTCGCAGACGCGATTGATCGCCTTCACGTTGCCGTCGGCCTGCGAACGGGCTTCAACCTGAGGCTGCTGCACGCCCGCGGCGATCCGGCAGGCGGCCCCAAAGGCGGTCGCAGCCGCCCGCACTGCCGGCTTGGCAGGGGCACTCCGCTCATCACTGCTGATACACCAATCTTTCACAAGATCGTCGAAGGAGGCCTGGGAGATACGAGCAACGCGGACAATGGGGTGATCCCCAGATACGCCCAACAGCTCGAACAGACTGCCCTGGGGCAGCTTCGCGTCGATGTCGTCACCGTCGAGGCCCGCCCACTCCGCAACGTCCCGGAGCACCTTGAAGCCGGCAAGCTCCTGCGGGCTAGGCTCCATGACAAGTGAGTCGGCTTGGGTTCAAGAGCAAACTAAGCCGGATGTACCCCCTTTGACTCACGCTCGCTTTCGAGACCGGGCGGGGATGCCTTGAGCCAAAATGGCTACGGATCCCGCGCGCGGTGCACTCTCACACTCTCCCACTCAGCCCCCCAAACGCTCAGCCGCCTGCTTTGTTAACTACACACGCGTGTTCCGACCAACAAAATCCCCTTCCTGGGACCGGCCTTCCATCCTGAGTCGTTTTTGGCGCCCCGAGACCAGGCAGGGGCCCCCCGAGGCCGAAAACTGACAAAGGCCTCCCGCTGCTACTTTTCCGCGACTCGGGTGGCAGGGCCGCTCGTCGGGTCGGGCGAAAGGGGGGGGGGGGGGGGGAAAAAGGGGGACTAGCGGCTAGCGCATCACCTTGCGTGGCTGGTTTTCCTGAAGCCTCCTGGCGCCTGAGGCGCCTTTCTCTATCGAGCGAGAGGAGGCGCACGGCGGCGGGGCCGACACCAGCTGCCTGCAGCAGGTGTCGGAACTCCGCTCTCCCGATCCACCCCTTTCCCCCCCTGACCTTCCAAAGCGCCCAAGATAGCACTCCGGCCCCATCGGTCTGTCTGGACTGCCCCCAACCCTCGACAGGAGCTGGAACGTCGACGTGCTGGTGCTGCTTCTGCTGGCACTCCTGGACGGTCAGGGCCAGGCACCCTCCCATCGGTCTGTCTGGACTGCCCCCAACCCTCGACAGGAGCTGGGACGTCGACGTGCTGGTGCTGCTTCTGCTGGCACTCCCGGACGGTCAGGGCCAGGCACCCTCTCATCGGTCTGTCTGGACTGCCCCCAACCCTCGACAGGAGCTGGGACGTCGACGTGCTGGTGCTGCTTCTGCTGGCACTCCCGAACGGTCAGGGCCAGGCACCCTCCCGTCTGAGCTCTCCTGTCCGCGGCCCCAGAGCTCCCGACCCCTTCCTCGGGGCGGACCCACTCTTCAGTGAAGGGGCCCCAGCACACACAAACAAATACACACAAATCAACATCTGTCCCATATTTCCCCATGTTTGGGGGGTGTTTGTTGTCTTCCCCCCCCCCACTTCCCATAGTTTCCCAGATGTTCGAAGGAATCGACGATTCACTGTGTCTGTGTCTGTGTCTGTGTGTGAATGTGTGCGAATGTGTGTGTGAATGTGTGTGAATGTGTGTGTGTGAATGTGTGTGAATGTGTGTGTGTGAATGTGTGAATGTGTGAATGTGTGTGTGTGAACGTGTGAATGTGTGAATGTGTGTGTGAATGTGTGAATGTGTGAATGTGTGTGTGAATGTGTGAATGTGTGTGTGAATGTGCGAATGTGTGTGTGTGTGAATGTGTGAATGTGTGTGTGTGTGTGAATGTGTGCTTGTGTGTGTGAATTTGTGTGTGTGAATGTGTGAATGTGTGTGTGTGAATGTGTGAATGTGTGTGTGTGTGAATGTGTGAACGTGTGTGTGTGAATGCGTGAATGTGTGAATGTGTGTGTGAATGTGTGAATGTTTGAATGTGTGTGTGTGAATGTGTGAATGTGCGTGTGTGAATGTGTGAATGTGTGTGTGTGAACGTGTGAATGTGTGTGTGAATGTGTGTGTGTGAATGTGTGAATGTGTGTGTGTGTGAATGTGTGAATGTGTGTGTGTGAATGTGTGAATGTGTGTGTGTGTGAATGTGTGAATGTGAATTGTGAATGTGTGAATGGTGTGTGCATGTGTGTGAATGTGTGTGTGTGAATGTGAATGTGTGTGTGAATGTGTGAATGTGTGTGTGAATGCGTGAATGAGTGAATGTGTGTGTGTGTGAATGTGTGTGTGTGTGATTGTGTGAATGTGTGTGTGTGAATGTGTGAATGTGTGTGAATGTGTGAATGTGTGCGTGTGAATGAATGAATGAATGTGTGTGAATGTGTAAATGTGTGTGAATGTGTGAATGTGTGTGTGTGTGAATGAATGTGTGAAGTGTGTGTGTGAATGTGTGAATGTGTGTGTGTGTGTGTGAATGTGTGAATGTGTGTGTGAGTGTGTGATTGTGTGTGGAAATGTGTGAATGTGTGTGTGTGAATGTGTGAATGTGTGTGTGTGTGTGAATGTGTGAATGTGTGTGTGAATGCGTGAATGTGTGAATGTGTGTGTGTGAATGTGTGAATGTGTGAATGTGTGTGTGTGAATGTGTGAATGTGTGTGTGAATGTGTGAATGTGTGTGTGAATGTGTGCATGTGTGTGGGAATGTGTGAATGTGTGAATGTGTCAATGTGTGTGTGTGAATGTGTGAATGTGTGCGTGTGAATGTGTGAATGTGCGTGTGAATGTGTGAATGTGTGAATGTGTGTGTGAATGTGTGAATGTGTGAATGTGTGAATGTGTGTGTGTGAATGTGTGAATGTGTGTGTGTGTGTGATGTGTGTGAATGTGTGTTGTGAATGTGTGAATGTGTGTGTGTGTGAATGTGTGTGTGAATGTGTGTGTGAATGTGAATGTGTGAATGTGTGAATGTGTGTGTGTGTGTGCGTGCGTGTGTGTGTGAATGTGTGAATGTGTGTGTGAATGTGTGAATGTGTGTGTGAATGTGTGTGAATGTGTGTGAATGTGTGTGGAATGTGTGTGAATGTGTGAATGTGTGTCATGTGTGTGAATGTGTGTGAATGTGTGTGTGTGAATGTGTGTGTGTGAATGTGTGAATGTGTGTGTGTGTGAATGTTGTGAATGTGCGATGTGTGTGTGTGAATGTGTGAATGTGTGTGTGAATGTGTGAATGTGTGTGTGGAATGTGTGAATGTGTGTGTGTGTGAATGTGAATGTGTGAATGTGTGAATGTGTGAATGTGTGTGCATGTGTGTGTGAATGTGTGAATGTGAATGTGTGAATGTGTGTGAATGTGTGTGTGAATGTGTGTGTGTGTGTGTGATGTGAATGTGTGTGTGTGTGAATGTGTGTGTGTGAATGTGTGAATGTGTGTGTGTGAATGTGTGTGTGAATGAATGTGTGTGTGAATGTGTGTGTGTGAATGTGTGAATGTGTGTGTGAATGTGTGTGTGTGAATGTTGTGCGTGTGAATGTGTGCGTGTGTGAATGGTGTGAATGTGTGAATGTGTGTGTGTGTGAATGTGTGAATGTGTGTGTGTGAATGTGTGAATGTGTGTGTGAATGTGTGTGTGTGAATGTGTGAATGTGCGTGTGTGAATGTGTGAATGTGTGTGTGTGAATGTGTGAATGTGTGTGTGTGAATGTGTGTGTGAATGTGTGAATGTGCGTGTGTGAATGTGTGAATGTGTGTGTGTGAATGTGTGAATGTGTGTGTGTGAATGTGTGAATGTGTGTTTGTGTGAATGTGTGTGTGTGTGAATGTGTGAATGTGTGTGTGTGTGTTTGTTTCCCTCCTGATTCAGGGCCCTTGGGGCCCGCGGGCGGCCCCCCAGAGGCCGCAAGCGAGGACAGCGCTGCGCGACTGCCATCGGGCGCCTGCCCGCTGCATGGCAGCAGGGCCCGACGTGGGAAAAGCTGCCAGCTCCCCCGCGGATCGGGAGGGGGCCACGCCCTGTTAGTGACTACCCACCAGACCACCCCGACCCAACCCGAAGACCCGAGTTTCGGGTTGGGGGGGGGTATGGGTTCATATATGTGTTTTTTCGATGTTCCCGGACCCCCCCCCCCACTAGAAATCGAGGGTAAATCTGAGCCTTCGGGTTGGGTTGGGGTGGTTTGGTGGGTGGTGAGTTAGAGCAAGCTAAGATTGGGGAAGCCAGCAAGGCACCCATACCGCCACTCCCCGGGCCTCTCTGGGGGTGCGTTCTGGCCAGAGGTGTCGAGGCATGTCCAGCGGTGGCGACGAGAGCCTCCCAGGAGGCCCAGAGAAGGGAAAACGAGGGAAGGGCAGCGGTATGGGCACTTTCTCTTCCTTTGGGAAATGGAAGAGGAGGACGGGGAGGAACGAGAGGGAGGCCGAGAATGGGGCGTTGGCAGAACTGGGTTTGATGGGACCTGGCTTAGTGATGTGTATCGAAGGACGGCCACCCCGCCCGGTTCCACGAACCAGAACTGCCGTCCCCCAACAAAAACACCAGTTACGGCAGACCTGGCTCAGTGACTCTGGCCGATGTAAGGGCTCCGGAGCCCTACCACCGACCGGGTCCCTTACCTGGGGCCCTGGCTCTATCCGAGAGCAGCGCGGGGCGCTCGACAAAGACGGATCGTCGGAGGTCCCGTCCGCGTCCGGCCGCCCCCCAAGAGAGGGGGGGGGGGGGCGTTTCGCGGTGGGCGCGCCAGGGCCCCGTGCTGCCACTGGGACATGCGCTCCTTGCCCGTGGAGTGGACGGTGACGCCGAAGCCTGCGGCCGGCGGGCGGGCCAGATCCCGGGCCCCGCGCCCCTCCCCCCTCTCCTCCTCTCGAGGAAGCGCCAACATGGATTGGCGACGCGTGGAGTGGTCATGGGCCTGTTCTCCACAACCACAACCATGGGCTGGAGGAGGGAAGGAGGTGGAGGACGAGGACGAGGAGGACGAGGAGGAGGAGGACGAGGAGAAGGACGAGGAGGAGAATGACGAAGAGGAGAAGGACGAGGAGGAGGAGGTGGAGGCTGTGGAGGAGGAGGAAAGGAGGAGGAGGAGGAGGACCCCCTCCCCATCCAACTTATGGTGGTGATGGTGGGAAACAGGACCAGCAATTGGCGACAGGACCCATTTCCATGCACGATCGGCGCGCTCCGTCGCCAAAGTGGGCGGCAATGGCCTCGCGTTTCGCGGGGCACCTTCCCCGATCGGTGGATCTGGCGCCCACGCGCTACATCCACGGATCCCTAATCCATGTTGGCGTTTGCCCGAACCTTTCGCGAGGCGAGGACTTGTCCGCACACGCTGGTCGGAAATAAAAAGTAAAAGCATGAAGGGGGAAGGCGAATCGAGCAGATTGGGTTCGGGCCCTCCCAGAAAAAAAAACAAAACCCACCACGACCATGCCAACTCTGGAAGCAGGAAGATGCTAGGAAAAGACGGGATCTGGAAATCCAATATATAATTCCGACTCTCCACGACCGACAGGGACCTTGCGCCTTGCGGATCGGCCTTCGATCCTCCACTCGGTGGCGTCAAGCGTCAAGCTGGCGCCCTCCGAGGGGGGCAAAGCGGGCCAGCTTTCATCGGAGGACCTCTGCTGCTCCGCTCGTCGAGCCGCGCGGCCAGCGCGTTGCTGCGCCACGGGCGGGCAGGCGACGCGAGCCGCTCGCCCCGACGAGGAGGACCACGAAGAGGAGGAGGAGGAGGAGGAGTAAGAGGGCGAGGACCCGCACGTCTGACAGGGTTGTCTGCCTTGCTTGCTGTACGATTGCCCAAGCACCTGCTGCGCTTCCGCGATCAAGATATCGTGGATGATGGGGGCCGCAAAACAAGGAATGCTCTTCATTCCTCCCTTCAGGTGGCGGGAGGTCTTACACCAGGGAAGAGCGTGGGTCTTGTTATTGCTGTGGGGCCTCGGAGTAGAACTCACTGTAAGCTCCGCAGGCTCAACATGCCAACACGCAACTCCCATTATCCTGGCGATCGAACATATTATGTATAATATCTATTTATGTATATATATATATATATACATATCTACATGTATGTATATATACATTTATATATATATATATATATATATATATACTAGAACCATCGCGCGCGCTTCGCGCGCGCTCAAGTTCTAGCCAGGATCCTCACCATCGTCATCATCGCAATCATCACCATCGTAGTCATCGTCATGGTCGTGTTCACCATTACCATCACCAGCACAACCATCATCATCACCACCATCATCGTCAGCATCGTCAGCACCATCGTCATCATCGTCGTCGTCATCGTTGTCCTCACTATCATCGTCGTCGTCATCATCATCAGCATCATCATCGTCAGCATCAGCATCAGCATCATCATCATCATCATCATCTTCGTCGGCGCCGTCGTTGTGCTCGTCATCCTCATCATCAGCGTCGTCGCCGTCATCATCATCGGTCTACTCCAGTCCCCTCCCCCTCCTCCTCATTTCCGTTCTATCTCTCCCCATCATCCTATCCTCTTGCTCCTCCTCCTCCTCTTTCTTCTCCTCGATGCCGTCTCCCTGAAGTGGATCCCTGTTCATTCACCTCCTCCTCCTCCTCCCTGTCCTCCCCGCTCTCTTCAATCTGTCCCTCCTTGTGTTCCTTCACCTCCTTCACCCCCTTCCTCCCCCCAGAACTCCACGAACGGTGCCAGGGACAGAAAAGCACGGCGTCCCTCCGCCTATCGCACACCTTTCACACGGCTCTGTTGGGAGAATTCGCCCAGCGTCTCCCCGCGTATTTCGACTCGCTCCGCACACAGCTTGTGCCCCGAAGGAAGCTCTACCGACGGCCCCGGAAACAAGGGTCGCATCCTGCCGCCCCGCCCATGTCGGCACACCCCTGACATGGATCGTGAAGTAGGGGCGTCTTGGAGGCCTCTCAGGACGTGATTCCCAATGGTCTCTTGAAGTCTCTGCAAGGCCTCTTGGGGGCCTCTCGGCGTCTCTTGGGTGCCGCGGGAGCTGCTGGGGGCTTCTTGGGAGCGTCCTTTGGGGGACCGTCTTGGGGCTCCCTGCGCCGGCGACGCAGGGAATGAAACCTGGGATCGCTATTGACATGATGGCCGCGCACGGCAATGAGGACAGAGACCTGGTCCTCGAACCGACGACGACAGCGACGGCGATGGCGACGGCGACGACGACGACGACGACGACGACGACGACGGCGACGATGACGACGACGACGAAGACGATGACGACGACGACGACGATGACGCCAGCGGCGACGGCGGCGACGTCGACGACGACGACGACGACGCCGGCGGCGACGCCGGCGACGGCGGCGACGACGACGACGAAGACGACGACGAGGAGGCCACAGAAACAACGGCAGCCCCCATCCTTTCAAAGCTAACATGTGCACGCTAAGCTCGCACCCTCGGCCCCAACTAACACCACACGCGCAGTTCGAGCGCGCTGAGGTTCCAGCAGCCCCCATCCTCTCAAAGCTAACATGTGCACGCGTGCACGTAACCACCAATGGCAGGAGCATGAACTGGAGAGGTAACAATGGCGCAGACCGAACAGGGCCGTAGTACACACGAGGGCGCACACAGACGTATCGAATGCAACGCCATGCAGACCAATGCGAGTAGTAAAACAAACGCCAAACGTTGCAAATGCAGCGCGATTCACAGCATTATTGTTGAATTGAAATGCAATGCACATGCTACTCAATGCAGGCAGCTCAACGGAACGGATCGGAAGGAAGAAGGGGTGCATATGAAAGTGTCCGAAATCGCATGGGGCTCGTTTCGGTGCCTGTTCGGGGGCTCTTGGGGGCCTCCCGGGGGGCTCTTGGGGGCCTTTGGGAGCCTCTAGTGGTTTCTGGGGATGCTCTTGGGGCCGAGGGCCCGTAAAGTGCGCTCGGATCCCGCGTCTGGGCCCCTTCTTGGAGCCGTGTTGGGACTCTCTTGGGCCGTCTTCGAGGCCTCTTAAGCGGTCCCGGGGCGCTCTTGGGCCGTCTTGGGGCCGTCTTGGGGGCCTCTTGGGCCGTCTTGGGGCGATCTTGGGTGCCTCTTGGCCGTCTTGGAGCGCCAGGGAGCCCAAAAGGAGAGAAAGCCAAAAACATCGAAAAACACAATGGAAAATCAACGATTCGAGCCTCTTGGGGCCCTCTTGGAGAGCCTCTTGGAGGCCTCTTGGGGCGTCTTGGAGGCCCCTTGGGCCGTCTTGGGACCATCTTGGGCGTCTTGGAGCGATCTGGGACCGCCTCGGGGCCCTCTTGGACCATCCTGGGGGCCTCCTGGGGCCGTCTTGGAGGCCTCTTGGGTCGTCTGGAGGCTCCTTGGAGGCTCCTTGGAGGCCCCGGGGAGGGGGTATTAAAAAGCGTTCCCCGATGGTTGCGGAGTGGGCGGCCCCGCCGGGGGGGGGGGGGCTATTTGTTATATATATATATATATATATATATATATATATATATATATATATATATATATATATGTATCGCGCCCGTTTCGCTGTTCGAAAAGGGCAGCTAGACCGGCGCAATGCCCAGGGCATCTCTGGGCGTCTCGCCGCGCACAGGCTGCCTCGGATCGAGCTCGGGTTCTGCATGGCTCGTACATCCAGAAGTTCTCATCTAACGGGGCCCACTGGTGGACGCCGCCTTGTTTCTGGTCGCCCGCAACAAGGTCGCCAGCCTCGGGCCCAGGGACCGCAGGAGGGTCAGAGGGAGGAGGCAGGAGAGGGCCAAGCAAGACGGCAACCACCATGGGCTTTTCCGCAAGCTTGAAACTAGGCCCGTCGCAGGGCTCGCTGCCAGGTTCCGGGGCAATCGCAGGCCACGCGGGTAGGCCTTTAGCGAGACACCGAAGAAAGTGGAGCAGAACACCGCAGTTTTGGCTGCAAGCCTGAACCTCCACGAACGAGGGGCCTCCAGCCTTACTGGCGGCAGATTTAGCAATTCTATCAGCGGTGTCAATGCCCATGGCCAGGAACTGTTCCTTGGATCCTGGGGGGGGAGTTATCTACGTCTTGGTGGGCCTTTGCATATCCTGGGAAGGGTCCCCTTGCTACGTTTACGTTTGGCTGGCAGCTCCAACCCCGCGTAACAGCTGCGTCTGTCGAAATCCGCCTGGCCATACGTGGCGATAACCCCGGGGTGGTCGAAGTGGAGACAGGTGGGGAGGGGGCGCACGTGGACCATGGTCATCACGACATGCTCTGCTGCCGGCGAGTCCGGCGGCAACTGGCCCCCCGTCTTTCCCGCGAGATGCGCCGTGCATTGGCCATTCGCGTCGATCATGGCTACCGCCCACCCCGTCTGGCGCCAGAACGGAGGGCCTCGTCTGAAACAGCTTCCGTCAACAAAAACCTTCCCCAGCCATCGCCACGGCCACGGAGTCTCGTTCCGGGGCCAAGACTCCCGGGACAGGCCAAAACCTGCGAGGCGCGCCACACGGGCTCAGGGCTGAAACTGGAAACCATGGGCGAAGGGAGCTGCCAGGGGGCACCCTTCCAAATACGATTCATCATCGGCCGTCAGCATCTCAGATTTCAAGTTTCGGATGAAGGGGCACTGGAACCTGTGCGACATGTCGTCTCTCTCGTACCCGCAGGGGGACGTCGCGTCGAGCGCGTATCCCGCGGCTGCCAACATCTTTTCAGTCCACAAAAATTGGGCCCAGTAGGACAGATGTGTTTCTCACAAGATGCCTTTTCTCACAAGATGTAAGTTACTAGGGTATTCCAACACTTCTCTAGCAGCTGCGACATCCAACCAAACCTCGGGCACCCCCATCTTCGCGGCGGCAAGCCACCCGAGGTTCGCCGCGTAGGCCAACTCGAGATGGCGCTTGAGGAGCGCGGGCGAACCTACGGCGATCTGGAGTAGCAGACAACGGAGGTCTCAATCTCGCAGGGGTTCCCGAGGCCCCAATTGATTCTCCCGAGGCAATTGGGCGGCTCCTATGTCCTCGGCAAGATGACCACTTTCAGAAAGGATTCGGAAAGATATTCTGAACTTCATCTTGGAACTCGACGCGCGCGATCCCGCCGGGGCGGGGCCGGGCGGGGAGTCTCCGCGCCATCAGTCCATAGGAGAGCACGGACCCCAGGGCGACTTCCCAAGTAGTGTCTCCCAAGAAGCACAAGCTGGGAGAACTGGGTCGGGTCTGGCATCTGGGCCCCGCGGCGCCGGGATAAACGCGTTGGCCCCCATAAACTCCACTGCTTGTGGGGCCCAAAACTTCCGCCCCATACTGGTTGGCTCGATCCAAGCCTGTTCCGCGCAACTTGCGGATGTCTGCGCCCGCGCGCCCCGGCGACATCAGCCCCCGTTTGCGCTGGCGGAGCTTGGCGACGCGGGCTCCGAGGGCGGCTCGTCTTCGGCCTGAACGGGCCCGTCCTCCAGCCGCGTAATCGACGACCAACGCGACTGCCGTGTCGACGGGCCCTTCGGTCCGAGGTCCAGCTAGCGGCCCCAGGGGAACCGAAAAAAAACGCCGTTCGAAGCGGCGACGGAAGAAGCGAAGACCGCCGACTTACGCGCGAAGAAGTTGCACCCAAGGTCGACGTCGATAGCGCATGTCATGCTGAGGCGGCGGGGGAGAAGTTAGCCACTGGCCCCTCGGGGGTCCCATCTTGGGCCTGGAGATGTGCATTCGGACTGTCTTGGACCCGGGCGCCGAGCGGGACGAGGCAAAACAGCTGGGCGACGCAAGTGACGAAACTGCGCCCTGCTGGGATCCCAGACCGCGGGCCCCCCACGAAGGTGTCTAGACACTGGCTTGCGGCAAGCCTGGGCCCTCCGTGCTGCTTGAAGATCAAGGCTGCGATTGCCTGGTTGAACTTTGTTCCGTCCGCTCTAGTATGCCATTCATCCCTGTCGATGTGTTCGTAGTAGCTAGATATGCCCCAAAGAAAAGGAGCAGCATGTCTAGCTACTCCTTCATAACGTACAAATGTTGCATGGAAATCTTGGTAGCGCACGGTCTCCGAGGCCCCTGGGCCCGATTGGCGCGCCAGAAACTTCCGCTCGTTGGCTGTCTCCCAGGATTCGGCAAGTGGCTGGCGAATTCGGGCCCGGGCCCTCGAAGTGGCAGTCAACAGTCCAATGCCAAGGTAACTGGGGTTGTCTGTTTCGGCCTGCTGCTCATGCTTGGGGATCGAGATAATGACCGCGGTTCGCGCCTGCTTCGGGAAGCGCCCGAGCGCCTCGCAAGCGCTGGGGAAACGGGCAGCGAGCTCGAGCTTAGGCTGCGGCAGCACATCGAAGCGCCCGGGGTGCAAGCCATCACATGAGGACGCCGCGTCGTGGCTGAACCTCCTGGACGCCTGGGGGATATCGTCGGCAGTTAGGGGTTGAAGCTCCGCGAGAGCTCGGGCTTCGGGCTGCTGTGGGCAGGGAGTGTTTTCGTGGGCCCCGGTCGCCCATGTGCCGGCAAGTCTATCTGCTTCTGCGAACGGCAGCTCGGACGGGCGCCCCGCCCACCTGATCTCGCGCGGCGCCCATATTCTCCGAGACCCCCAGGCGCACGCAGATTTGGGCCACTCGTGGCACCGACCTACCCCGCGCAACATGCTGGTTTTTACCCCCTCCTTCCCATGTGGCTTCCTCGCTGGCTTGATCCCGCTGGAGTTCTCAATCGAGGGCACCGGCGGCACCCTCGAAAAGCGCGTCGAAAAATCCCCCTGGCGATGTCAAGGTCAAGCCCGTCGTTCCCGAAGCCTGGCAGCACCGATTCGGCCGCGCCCTGAATAATCTGCAAAAAGGCCCCGAGGTCGGCGTTCTCGGCGAAAAAGTTCGGGCGGGTCTGGAGATCCTCAGCGGCATTATGGAAATCGAGGTTCAGGGAATCAGTCTCCTCTAAGGCTCTGCGCATGTAAATCAGCTTGTTCTTGAGCCAGCGCGCCACGGCGGCCCCCTTCTGCTTCGCGCGCCGGCGCGCGCTTTACTTGAGGTCCCTGACCCCGTGCTCGCGCGGTTCAATTGGCCCGCAGTGAACGTCTGGTAGGCCCCGACAAAAGCGCCCTCGAGGGCTTCGACGCTGATGGCCTGGCCCAGGAGGGCCGCCACCTGGTCCGGGGCAGTTTTTTTTTTTTTTTTTTTTTTTTTTTTTTTTTTTTTTTTTTTTTTTTTTTTTTCATTCTTCTGGGCGTCGGAGCGGACCGAGTGGAACCTCGGCGGGGGGCTTCTGGGGCGTCGCAGCGCGGGGGCCAGAAAGGGCGACCCCGCGGCCAGGTCAATGCGCGCGGGCCTGCCGGGGCTGAGGGGGCGCCCCTTCAGCGCCGAGGTTTCCTTCACAGTCGCAGAAACATCTGGGGAACAAGAAATAATCGAGGAGGAATGAAACCTTCTTGGCGCCGAGGGCGGGCGCCCCAGGGGCCAATGCGCACGCCCCCGCTACAAATCTACCTCGACGATCCCGAGATCGAGCCCCCGACGCACTAGGACGGCGGCCCCCTGAATGACTCCCCCTCGTTCCGGCTCGACCTCCATCCAAGAATACGGCGTGCAAACCCGCCCCTGCACATCCATGAGCAGCTTCCAGAAATGCGGAACCCATCAACTTGGTTCCTTGGTAACACACTATCTGGCACTGGCGGGCCTCCGAGTCGAACTTGAGACAAGCCTTGACACTTCCGCATCAGCTACCATGTAGTGGAACGATTTTGAGACTGCGACCCACCTGACGGGCGAGCTGCCGCCGCCGTGCCTGGGCGGCTGCGCCCTGGCTGCCCTTCTGGCGAAGGCGGCGGGCGACGTCCTCGGCGGTGGGGCCCGCGGCGCAGCAGGCGGAGACTTGGCTCGCGCGGTCGAGCGCCTGCGTGATGCGCGCGGCCCCCGCCTCGACACCCTTTGGCCCCTTGTGTCCATGGGCTCTGTCTCGTCGGCCTCGTCGTTGTCTCCTGCGGGCTTGTCGACTGCCTCGGCGAAGGGCGACGCAGCTGGCTGCGCGCCTGCCTCAATCGCCGTTGGCTGCGCCAGCTGCACGACGGCGGGGGCCGCTGGGACTCGCGGCTGGGCAGCGGCAGCAGCGGCCTTTTTTATGAACTGCTTCGTCAGCTTTGCCGCCATCTAGTCCAGCTACACCTGGACTCCACTAAGGATCTCCACATATGCGAAGTTAGCGTTGGCGAAGTATGCGAGCGCGGTGGCAGCCTCAGGCTTGGCGTCGACGAATGCTGTTGTTGCCGCTGTTGCTGTGATTTCGTTCTGGACCTCGTCGCACTCCTTGGCCACCTTCGAGTACTTTCGCTGAGCTCCTCAATCTTCTCGATGTACCATTGCGCGTCCTTTTGCTTCCCTGCCAGGCGCTTGCATTGCCCCGTATGCTGGGCCTTGAAGCTCTGCGTCTGCTCGTGGGGATACTTGGACTCGAGGGCGTTGGCCTGTGCCGCCTTGAGTTCCTCTTGCGTTTGCTTGCCATGCTGGCCTCCCACACCCTCGAAGCTCGTCAAGAACGTGACCGCCTTGGTGCAGACGGTGACTGGGACCAGGCCGTTGGATGGCGCACTCTCTACAGCATCGAAATGGACGGCGCTGCGGGACCATCGATTGCGACTCTTGGAAAAAGTACGAGGAGGCGCTGGCGTTGGCGTTCGGGCGGAAGTGCAAAACTGACACCACATGCCCCACAATGGCGGTGTTGAGGATCTGACCACAACCATCTCCCACACGATGGCGTAGCACAAACCTGGTAGCTTCTATTCGCCCTCGACTGGCTCCTGAAGGTGCGGCGATCACGGCTGCCACGCTCTCCTCGACGGCTGGTAGCGGGCGGCGCGTCCCGCGCCATGGCAGCAGCAGCGCGCAGAGCCAGGCACGCAAGGAGGCGGAGGCAATGGCATGGGCCCGTTCGGGCCGCGTGAGCCAAAATGGCTTGAGCCAAAAACCTCGGGGAGGGGACGAGAAAGAGGAAGGAGGAGGAGGAGAAAGAGCAGGAGCAGGAGGAGGAGAACGAGGAGGAGGAGGAGACAAGACGCACGCGGAGATGCCGACGGTGCACCCTGCCCGAAAGCAGGCAGGAACCACCATCGGCATTCGCCCCCGCTTCCCAGGCCCCCCGATCCCCGCGAACCAAGAGAAAATCACGACAGGCAGTTTTCGGCCGTTGTCTGTTCCGTTGGGTGCCCCCTCTCCGCACGGTCCGAGATGGTCAGAGAAGCTGCGCGGGACGAGAAGCGGACCGCGCATAGTGGGTCGAGACCTCTCCAAGGACCGCGTGATATACATTCAAAGACGTCACATGTCCGGGCTTGCCCTTGGCCGCCTCGTTTCTTGCAGGGAGCTGTCTGGCAGGGAGCGATGCAACCGCGGGCCATGGGGCCCTGATGCAGCCGGCATGAGAACACTCTCACCCCCACCTGACGCCCCCTCACGACGAAACCTGTAACTTTTAGCTCAGATTCGTTTCCGTTTTTTGGAACTATCAACTGTCGCGCGTCCATTCATTCTCGTTGCTTGCATCTCTAACCCACAAGAGCCGCTGGTAGTCGCGTTCGTTTTCTGGGCGTTGCTTCAACCCGTGCCAGTCGGTTCCCACACGGAATGCGAAGGCGCTGCCACTCGCCCCTTCTGATCACGGGGAGCGCAAGCGAGTTGTCGCCCGACCCCCGACGTCTTTACACGCCTGCATTCGCAGATGCACAAGAAAGCAAGCACAGGTTAATACGACATTGGTTGGTTAACGTCACTCGCGTTATCTACCGAATTGGTGCACATGAATATAAAACGCGTGTGCACATGCATAATATATTAACGGTGTAATCACGCAGGATCCGTGTCCACATGACCATACATACGGCCCATAAAAAATCCTGAGCCTTCGTCAACGTCGCATGCAAACGCAAGGGCAAAGGGCTGTTGCAACAACCGGTTAACAATGAGCGGTGATGCTCCGCATGCATGAAAGTGGCACCTCGCTGGCCTGGGGGCGAACCGTCCACAGAAAGAAGGGCGCACCGCAAGCGTTTTCCGAGCGCGCTCGTGGTCCCTTTTGTGCACGCGACGAGCATTGCAAAAATGTCGGCGCTGGACGAACTTCCCTACAGCCCAGGACCGAAACCGACGGACCTGGACCCGCAAGAAGAATGGCGGCCGCGACGCCCTCTCGCGAGCCGAAAACGGCCATTCCTCAATCGGCGCGTCAGGGCAGGAGGCCGGTCGACCTCCGAGAGTGACGCGAGCGGCCCCTGCGCGGCCGCGGGCGCGCGGGCGGCCGCGGGCGCGCGAGAGCACGCGGCAGCGGGCGGCCGCAGACGCGCGGGCACGCGGGCGCGAGGGGCGCGGGCGCGGCGTGCGAGGGGCGCGGGCGCGGGTTCGCGGGCGCGCGGCACGGGCGCGCGGGACGGCGGCGGGCGCGTGCTTCGGGCTGCCAACTCCAACAATCGAGGGCAGAAACTCAACCCCGATCATTCGCCAGCCCAACGGGCCAGAGGCGTGCTGAGATCTCCGGTAACTGGTTCATAGTATTTCTAGTTCGCGCGCGCGGGGCGGCCCCTGGGGGTCCCCGGACGAAAAGTACCCCAGCAAGGTTCTGGGAGCCTAGCACTCCAGGGGAGGGCCACTTTTCGACACCCCTCATGCGGATCGTGACCTTCGAGGGGGGAGCCGCAATCGACTACCCCCCCTCCCGCACTAAGAGGCCTCCAAGAGCCCCCCAATGGGCCCTGGGGACCCCCAAGACGCCGCCAAGGAGCCGCAAGAGACTCCCAAGAGGGCCCCAAGAAGCAAAATTCACTGTTTTTCATTAGGTTTGGGGGAGGTTTTGGCGTTTCCACCTTTTCGGCATCGCGACGCCCCAAGACGGCCCAAGAGGCCTCCAAGATCGCCATAAGAGGACCGAGAGGCCTCCGACAGGGCCCCAAGACGGCCCAAGAGGGTTCCAAGACAGCCCAAGAGGCCTCCAAGACGGCCCAAGAGGGCCCCAAGAACGCTCTAAGAGAAGCCCCAGAGGGGGAACACGAAACAACATTTCGAGCCCTCGGCCCTAAGAAGCCCCCAGGAGGCGCCAAGAGACCCCGTTCAAGCCCCAGGAGGCCCCAAAAAGGCTCTCGAGATAGCCCCCAGACGCCCCACGAGGCTTTCAAAAGCACTCCCAAGAGGGCCCCAAGAGGCGCAATTCATTGCTTATCCTTAGGTTCTGGGGAGATTTTGGCGTCTCCACCTGTTCGGCATCGCGACGCCCCAAGACGGCCCAAGAGGCCCCCGAGATCGCCCTGAGAGGCCCGAGAGGCCTCCGACAGGGCCCCAAGACGGCCCAAGAGGGTTCCAAGACGGCCCAAGAGGCCTCCAAGACGGCCCAAGAGGGCCCCAAGAACGCTCTAAGAGAAGTGTCCGATTGAAATCAGGTTGGGGTCTTAACGGGTTCTGGTTGTAACCCTCTTGGGCTGTCCGTGGCATCTTCAAGGGGTCCTGCTGGGACCAAGTTAGGCTCTCGGTGGGATCGCGCACTGAGGGGCCACGCTTGGGGAAAAAACGCAAGACATCTCCTCCTCCGCCTCCTCCTCCTCCTCCTTTTCCTCCTCCTCCTCCTCCTCCTCCTCCTCCTCCTCCTCCGCCTCCTCTTAGTCCTCTTACGCCTCCTCGTCCTCCTCCTCCTCCTCCTCCTCCTCCTCCTCCTCCTCCTCCTCGCACGTGGCCTGCTTCTAGGCTCGCCGAATGAGCGCCATACTGTGGGAATGGCCTGACTCCCCCTCTGCTGGGAGACGGCCTCCTCCTCAAGAGGCCTCCAAGAGGGCCCCAAGGACGCTCTAAGAGAAGCCCCAGAGGGGGAACACGAAACAACATTTGGAGCCCTCGGACCTAAGAAGCCCCCAGGAGGCGCCAAGAGGCCCCTAAGAAACCCCAGGAGGCCCCCCAAAGGCCCTCACGAGGCTCCCAAGAAGCTCCCAAGCGGCTCCCAAGCGGCTCCAGGAGGCCCCCCAAATGCCCCCCCGACCACGCTAGCAAGTGCCAGCGATGCGACTCCAGAAGGCCCCAGCTCCAAGAAACCCCAAAGAGGCTCCAACAGAAACCCAAGAGGCCCCCAAGAAACCCCCAACGAGGACCCCAAAAGGCCCCCCAAAGCCCAAACGCCAGCGAGGGCACAATATGGGCCGGCGGAATGAGCGAAGCGATTAAATAATACAAATAAGGATCGGAAGAATAACTAAATTATCCCGGCAAAGCAACCTAACAGCGATGTGTAGGAACATATCTGGAAGCATCCCCCTTAAGATTCAGGTGAGAATCCAGTTGTAGAGTTCTGCTGTTCTCGCAGTCCTAGTCGCATTCGCGATGACAGTCGCAGTGGCCTGCATTAGCCTCAGCCTCAGCCTCAGCCTGCCTCAGCATCAGCCTCAGCCTCAGCTTCAGCCTGCCTCAGCCTCAGCCTCAGCCTGCTCCTGCATCAGCCTCAGTCTGCCTGCAGCCTCGGCCTCAGCCTCAGCCTGCCTCAGCCTGAGCCCTGCCTCAGCCTCAGCCTCAGCCTGCCTCAGCATCAGCCAGCCTCAGCCTCAGCCTCAGCCTCAGCCTCAGCCTCAGCCTTAGCCTCAGCCTCAGCCTGCTTCAGCCTCAGCCTCAGTCTGCCTTCAGCCTCGGCCTCAGCCTCAGCCTGCCTCAGCCTCAGCCTGCATCAGCATCAGCCTCAGCCTCAGCCTGCCTCAGCATCAGCCTGCCTCAGCCTCAGCCTCAGCCTGCCTCAGCCTCAGCCTCAGCCTGCTTCAGCCTCAGCCTCAGTCGGCCTTCAGCCTCGGCCTCAGCCTCAGCCTGCCTCAGCCTCAGCCTGCATCAGCCTCAGCCTCAGCCTGCCTCAGCCTCAGCCTGCATCAGCCTCAGCCTCAGCCTGCCTCAGCCTCAGCCTCAGCCTGCTTCAGCCTCAGCCTCAGTCTGCCTTCAGCCTCGGTCTCAGCCTCAGCCTGCCTCAGCCTCAGCCTGCATCAGCCTCAGCCTCAGCCTCAGCCTGCCTCAGCATCAGCCTGCCTCAGCCTCAGCCTCAGCCTGCCTCAGCCTCAGCCTCAGCCTGATTCAGCCTCAGCCTCAGTCTGCCTTCAGCCTCGGCCTCAGCCTCAGCCTGCCTCAGCCTCAGCCTGATTCAGCCTCAGCCTCAGCCTCAGCCTGCCTCAGCCTCAGCCTGCCTCAGCCTCAGCCTCAGCCTGCCTCAGCCTCAGCCTCAGCCTGCTTCAGCCTCAGCACCAGTCTGCCTTCAGCCTCGGCCTCGGCCTCGGCCTCAGCCTCAGCCTGCATGAGCCTCAGCCTCAGCCTCAGCCTGGCTCAGCATCAGCCTGTCTCAGCCTCAGCCTCAGCCTGCCTCAGCCTCAGCCTCAGCCTGCTTCATCAGCCTCAGTCTGCCTTCAGCCTCGGCCTCAGCCTCGGCCTGCTTCAGCCTCAGCCTGCATCAGCCTCAGCCTCAGCCTCAGCCTGCCTCAGCCTCAGCCTGCCTCAGCCTCAGCCTCAGCCTGCCTATGCCTCAGCCTCAGCCTGCTTCAGCCTCAGCCTCAGTCTCCCTTCAGCCTCGGCCTCAGCCTCAGCCTGCCTCAGCCTCAGCCTGCATCAGCCTCAGCCTCAGCCTCAGCCTGCCTCAGCATCAGCCTGCCTCAGCCTCAGCCTCAGCCTGCCTCAGCCTCAGCCTCAGCCTGCTTCAGCCTCAGCCTCAGTCTGCCTTCACCCTCGGCCTCAGCCTCAGCCTGCCTCAGCCTCAGCCTGCCTCAGCCTCAGCCTCAGCCTCAGCCT